ATTTCGAGTATATTTCGACTGCTTTCCAATGCAACAATGCATATTTTAGTAGGTTATAAAATATCCGCGTAGGTTATAGAGCAGACCGAGTTTATCTTTTCATACAAATTATATGGCTAACCTCGCATTTTATGGGTAGGTTACAAGATAACCTAGTTAACCTAGGTAACCTGGCTAACCTGCTTATATGTGAACATAGTATCAGAATAGAAACTCAACCCCAGACTCCCCTTGACGTTTCTACAGAGGCACCTCTCAGCTGTGGCTTTGTTTACATAACATCAGCTGATAGTGACACTACTCTTCCACTACTGTGATTAAATAACTGGTGTAGGAATGTGAGCACTAGTGCCCTTTGTATTCGATTTTAGTCGATTAGTCTGCTATTACACTCGTCAACTTTTGTTGCGGCAATTCTTTTTATTTTCTAGAGTGCGACGAGGAGAGGAGAATCGCTGCGAGTTTCCAGTGTTCACCAACACGCTTTTAGTTCTTATTCGTAACAGTTCGCTGCGACGTTTTTCGGCATTCGTGTTCTTTCTTTTGTAGTACATAGTTGCATTTGCGTATATTCTTTTGAAATAAAAATTTTGAATATATTTAAAAAGTTTAATTTCATCTTTTGGTAAGTAATTTGCAAATACGTATACAAATATACATAATATAATACAAATATTTTGGAAAATGGAGTATGACGAAAAAATCGAAATAATTACAGATATTGTGAGATATAGGAAGGAAGCCATACAAATTGATTCAGACGATAGTGAAAAGGTTGATATATGTGAAGGTCTGTCATATAATCTTTGTTTTAATTTTGAATTATAAACAAAATGTATTTCTTAATTGACAGAACTGATTAATATATGTGATAGAATGACCCAAATACCGATAAGGAAAAAGAAACGGCAATGGGTTAAAGTAATGTGTGGAATAAAATGTTCGCGACAGACTGCAAACGACATCTGTCAAATATTAAAATACACACGTTCTTATGGACGGACCTATTTTGACAGCTGCACGRCTACACGACGGCAGTCCGACAGTTGTCGTTCTCGCTAACTTCAATTTTATCCTATATTTGCCAACGACAGTAAGACGAAAGTAGAGTTGACAGTAGAATGGAAGATAGAGAGATGAGGTAGAGTGATGATACCACTAATATGTAAAATGTAAAATTATTCACAGCTCTAACAAACTTGATGTTATTTTACAAATAAATACAAAAAATAGCTCTGTTACATCATTTGTAATAACAATTGATAATTTAAAACAAATAAATTTACCTATTTACTTATTTTTTGCTTAAAAATTTCACTTTGAAAAAAATATTAAAATTTCATTGAAGTGCAAAATATTAGTATGGCCACAACGAAATTGTGTACATTCAAAATGGACAACTGAGTTGTTTTGTGTACATGMCCGCCATTGTTATGTTGCTGCCCTCTCACAAACGTTCTTGTAGTAGGATTCACAACGCCGTTTTCAGTGCAMTGTCGTGCTGCTGCAGTCTGTCGCTAGCATTGTGTTCCACACATGACAGTGAAATTGAAGGTAGAGAGATGAGGAAGAGTGGTGCTGCCAATGCCACTAAAATGTAAAATTAATTTATTATAAATAAACCTGACGTTATTTTACAAATGAAACCATAAAAGAGCATCCCCGAATTTCGGGGATAATATGGGTAGCACTGGAAAGCTGACATTCTCCAGACTACGAATATATATATATATATAGTTGCCGCTGACTTACAATTTTAAAAATATTTGCATTTAAAGTTAAAAAATTTACAACTTTTAAATTGATAATTGTATATTGTGAAAATTTTCTTCATTTCTAACGCAGAAAGGGGTACTATGCGAAAGTACTTCAGTTACCCCGAGTATTCGGTCGACTAGGGTTATTTTGTTAGAGCGCGGCCGAAGAAAGCCAACGCAGAAAGGTGCACTACGCGAAAGTACTTCAGTCATCCCGGGTATTCGCTCGACCAGGGTTATTTTCTTAGAGAGCGGCCAAAGGCCGCCAACGCAGAAAGGAGTACTCCTCGAAAGTACTTCAGTCATCCCGACATGATATTATATAAATTTTATAATACTATA